TGGCCGGGAGGGGTAGCCGTGGTGGGGGGTGGGGGGTCCCGAGTGGCCTCTCCGGGCAGCAGCAGGTGAGTGGTGAGCCTCAGACCTGAGGAGTCCCCTGAGTCTGAGTCTGGGGGCAGGGGCAGGGGCTGGACGTGCTGCAGGCTCAGGCCCGGCCGGGGGCCGCTGTGAGACGTCCACATGGAGGGCGAGGCAAGGCTGACCCGGTGCTCCCGGGGACAACGGGGGCATGGCAGGAACCTGCCCAGGGCCCGCTTGAAGTCCCGCATGAAGAGGGGGTAGACAATGGGGTTCATGGTGCTGTTACAGTAGCCCAGCCACGTGAGGACATCGAAGAGGCCCGGGGAGACGCAGTCACACACAGCCTGGGGGTAGGTGGCGAGATGTGTCATGCCTGATCCCGGGACAGGGACTCAGACCACCCACCCAGGCCCAAGGGCACGACACAGACATGCCCCAGTAGCCCAGCCTCCTCCCTCCATGCAAGGCCTCCCCAGCAAGGTCTGGGCTCACCCGCCCCCTGCTGTGGCATTACCTGGGCTATATTGGCCACAAAGAAGGGCAGCCAGGTCGCAAAGAACATGCCCAGCAGGACACCCAGGGTCAGGCTGGCCTTCAAGGCCTTCCTGCTGTGCTTGGTGGCCAGACGCCTGCTGTCAGCTGACTCTGCCCCTGGGCGTGAGGTCCTGGGCACCTGCGAAAAGAATGGTGACATGGGTCAGCTGAGGAAGAGACCCAGTCTGACCCTGACCTTACCCACAGTCTGAGCCTCGATCCTGATTCTAGACTGATCCCCAGTGCCAGCAATAAACTGAGCCCTGGTCCTCGATTTCATCCCAACTGGAGTTCTAGAATGAGCCCTGACCCTGACCTCAGAAGGAACTTTGACCCTGGCTCCAGGTCAAGCTTTGACATCAGCAATAAACTAAGCCTGAACCCTCACACTTACCATAGAGCCCTTCATAACCAAGGTGACAGACCGGGCTGCAGCCTAGACCGAGCCCTGGTCCTGGTTCCACACTCACAGCAATAGACTGAGCCCTGCTCTTGGTCCCACACCAAATCCTGACCCTGACCGAAAGTTCACAAGGAGCTCTAGCGATGGAGCATCACTACCCAAACATAAGCCAGGTGGTGAGGAACAACCCTCCTGGAAACAGCTCAACCCAGGCCAGTACGCTGCGGTGAGCCCCTCCCAGAGCCCTGGGCGCCGCAAGGCCAGCAGATGGCATAGCAGTTATGTCACTAGTGACCTGGTGGCTTGAAACTCACACTGGGCACGTACGTGTGTGCCCAAGATCCCAGGAGGACAATGGAAGAGAAGGGATTGCTGCATGGACATCCCCCCTGGGGGGCGATTTCTCACTATCCTTCTCACTGTTTCTGTCTGTCTCTCTCTCTGGCTAGCGAACATGCCCTATGGCAAAAGCCAAAAAAATTTTTTTAATTAAAAAAATAATAATAAAAACACCCGTTTTTGTCCAGGAAATGACAATTTCTTTTTTAGGGATTCTCTTCATATCTCAGAATCATGGTTTTGCCTGTGCTCCACTAAATAGAAGTGTTTGGGGTCTTTACTGAGCATTGAGCACAAAGCACGTGTCTGCAACTCCATCTTTCACAGATTATGGTTGCTAAGGACTCGCTATTTTGCACCTCAGTTACACTGCAGACTGGCAAGCATCTCCATTCTCAAACTGCAAGAGGAGGGCCGTGAGGGGAAAGGAGAGGAAAGAAGCTGCTCCCAGCAGCCACTGAAAGGAGGATATGGCATGAGGAGGGGAGAATGTGACTTTGCAAACTGGCCGCCAGCAGGCCCAGAGTACTAGAAGTCTGTCTGAACGGATGACCCTATAGCCTGGTGGTTCTTACTTTTTTAACCTCATAAGTTCTGTGAAATAGCTAATGAAACCTACCAAAGCCTCACCCCAGAATATAAAAAATCTTAGACATTTTGGGGACCAGCAGATGGAGTAATGGTTATGTCACTGACTCCCACATAGCCGATGGTAGTTCGAGTCCTGGACCCAGCAGCTTAAAACTCACACCAGAAGTGTGTGTGTGTGTGTGTGTGTGTGTGTGTGTGTGCCCAAAATCCTGAGAGGATAATGGAGGAAAAGAGATTGCAGTGTGGTCATCCCTCTGGGGGATGATTTCTCGCCTTCTGTCTCTCTCTCTCTGATGCACACAAATGCCCTACAGCAAAAATTTCTCTCAAAAAAAAAAACTTAATAAATTTTTATACACGCAATTTTTTTAATGCTGTATGTTTTTAGAGGGTTCAGAGACCACCTTGAAGCCCCTTGATTTCTACCATAAAACCCCTAGGAGTTCGTGAAAGCTGGATGTAAAGCCCCCCTCTAAATGAGCTGTTGTAATCAATTTGAATTTTTGTGTGTGAGATTTACACAGTAAGACCCACCTATATTTAAGTAAACACAAGTGTGCAGTGGTGTGCATAATTGAGAGTGTGTGCTACCTGGGAACACACCTAGGCTTTGAACCCAGGAATTTGCCCAGCACTTTGTAAATTGCTTGAGAGCCCAGCCTGGTTCTCAAGGCAGCCGAAGGTGGGTTGGATATGAGAAGATGAAAAGGTCAGAGGGAAGCAGGAAAGGAACTAGATTCCCACACATCCTTGCAGATGGAAAGAGCGTGGAAGAGGCAAAGCCAAGCCAACGTCACCCACCCCACACCACTCCCTGCGGTTTCTCCCTGGTAAGGGTCGGTGTCTTGTCCATGGTGCTGAAATTTCCGCTGCACACTCTGACGGCGGCAGTCCTAACTGGAATGGAGGGGCCCGCAGCGGGAAGGCAAAGCACACTAACTCCTACCCCTCCGTGTGCTTATCCAGGTGAGCGCTGGCTAGACACACATCAGGGACCATTCTGAAAACGGCAGTCTAAGGCGGGCCCTTGATTTCTCCCCGTGCTTATCCAGGTGAGCGCTGGCTAGACACACATCAGGGACCATTCTGAAAACGGCAGTCTAAGGCCGTTTTTTCTCCCCTGTGACTTGATGGGGCAGCATTTTACAGAGGCAAAAAACAAAACCAAGAGGCCAGCAGGTGGTGTAGTGGTCACTGGACTCCCACGTGGCCAATTGCGGTTCGAGTTCCAGACCCGCGGGCTTGAAACATGCCAGGCATGTGTGCATGCGTGCCCAAAATTCCAAGAGGAGAGTGGAGGAGAAGGGATTGCAGCGTGGCCATCCCCCAAGGAAGTGATTTCTTGCTTTCTGTCTCTGTGTTTCTGGAAAGTGCACATGCCCTATAGCAAATATCTCTAATTAAAAAAAAAAATACCCTGAGCGTTTTAGACAAGTGACCTGGCTTCAAGTCATGCCTCTGATCTCGAGAGAGCCTATTTCCACATATGTAACATGGGTGGGATGATACTCAGCTTACGGAGTCGCCGTGTGGGCGTGGGGGGAGTGCAGTCACCATGGTGCTGGGCCAGTGGTGTCTAGGAGGTTGGGAGGTTTGAGCACCGTCCAGGACCCTGTCCTGCCAGCAGCTCTGGCCTCCCCAAAGCCCACAGATGTCAGGACACTCCCTCTGAGCCATCGTGCTGTAGCACAGGCTCGGGCTAGAGGGCGCTCTCCCCTCCACCCCCACCATACACAAGTCTGCTCTGAGTCCTGCCCTGAGTCAGCAAGGAAGAAACAGGGTTTGCTTTTCTTTCTCCTCTCAGTTTTCTTTCCTCTGGACTCTCTATGGGCTCTCTATGGCTCTTGTGACCCCACCATGTTCTTCCTGGAGAATGAGGTATCCCCAAAAGAATCTCCTAAGACTTGCCAAGATTTCAAATTGCTGCCACTAATAGAGAGAGACTGTCTCCAGGAAGTCCCAGTCATAGAGACCGCTTCAACTCCAGTGGCCTGGGGAAGGGAGGGGAAAAGGGGCCACCCCAATCTTGCAGAGTTCTAGGGCACAGAGAAACAGAAGCACGTGGGCGAAACCTTGGGGGCTGCCAAGAGAGGAAGCTCCAAAGAAGGGAGGGGGGATGAACAGGGATTCCTTCTTCAGCATTCCTGAGACTAACCTCGGGCTTTTCTTTCTTCTCTTCTCCCCAAAAAATGTTGACCCAAGTACACAGGCAAAGATGGAAGAGAGGAGGAAACTGAAGCTCAGCGTGGAGGGTGGAGGGTGGGGAACCTCCAAAGGTCATGCCGTGCCAGTAAGGCTCCAAACCAAAGCCTCAGTGATCCCAAAGCAGATTACTATCCTTATTCTTATTTTTTTTTAATTTAGCTTTATTTATTTGAATCTTGCAGAGTTCTAGGGCACAGAGAAACAGAAGCACGTGGGCGAAACCTTGGGGGCTGCCAAGAGAGGAAGCTCCAAAGAAGGGAGGGGGGATGAACAGGGATTCCTTCTTCAGCATTCCTGAGACTAACCTCGGGCTTTTCTTTCTTCTCTTCTCCCCAAAAAATGTTGACCCAAGTACACAGGCAAAGATGGAAGAGAGGAGGAAACTGAAGCTCAGCGTGGAGGGTGGAGGGTGGGGAACCTCCAAAGGTCATGCCGTGCCAGTAAGGCTCCAAACCAAAGCCTCAGTGATCCCAAAGCAGATTACTATCCTTATTCTTATTTTTTTTTAATTTAGCTTTATTTATTTGAATTTGATCAGAGAGGGACAGAGAAAGAGAGAGAGAGAAAGTGAGAGAGTAAGCCACCAGGTCCAGGACTCAAATTGCAGTCGGCCATGTGGGAGTCCAGGGCCCTTAACCACCACGCTGCCTGTCGGCCCCACCACCCCTATCTACTGAGCACTTACTATGCTTCAGCATTTGATATTTCTCGATCATCTGATCTTTATGAGAATAGGTATGGTCCTCATTTTGCAGATCAGACAACTGCGGCTCTGAGAGGCAAAATGACTTGCCAGGGGTTCAAAGTCCTTTCGAGACCCAGAAACTGCATTCTTCCCCCTTCATCGTGTTTCTTCCACATTTTGGCTTGACATCCACGAGCCACTATCAAGGCGGAGTTATGGGAACCCCACCACTGTCACCAAGAGAACCTCATGGGACAGAAGCCAATGGCGACCGCCAGCCCACACCTGGGGTCTGGCTGTTCTGGGACTACCATTCCCACTTCTGTCTGCTCCAGCAGCCCCGTGTGGCCTTGCTCTGCCATTGCATGTCCCTTCTCCATGTCCATGTGTCACTGTCAGAGCACCACTACTTGGGGCCAGTCTGGTGATGCCCAACGCCCGCCAGTTCCCCAGGTTCTCCTGTCCCACAGCCCGTGTGTGCATCTGTGCGTGTCCCCGGCACATGTGGGAATGTGCTCCAGGGCTCTGCTGACAGGGAAAGTTGGAAGCAGCCTGAACATCCACTCATGGTACTCCGCAGCGGTTCTTAACGAGTTTATCCAGTAGAAAGGTTTTCAAGACGGCTCGCTGACTTAACAAGGTTGGGGGGAGGGAGAAAAAGGGGGAGAGACAGGGATAGGCTTTTTTTTTTTTTTTTTTAGGTTTTTGCCATAGGACACATGTGCCCAACCAGAGAGAGACAGAGAGAGAGAAAGGGAGCAATCACCCCCCTGGGGTGGATGGCCATACCACAATCCTTTCTCTGCTCTCTCCTTGGGACTTCAGACACACATGCACACGTGCCCAGTATGATTTTCAAGCCACTGGGTCTGGGACTTGAACCACAGTCAGCCATGTGACAGTCCAGCACCTTAAC